GAAGAGAGATGATCAATAACAAATGATGCTTAATTGAAAACATTAGATAAAAAAAGCAAAAAGAAAGAAAGAAAGAAAGAAAGAAAGAAAGAAAGAAAGAAAGAAAGAAAGAAAGAAAGAAGAAAGAAAGAAAAAAGAAAGGAAAAGAAAGAAAGAAGAAAAGAAAAAGAAAGAAAGAAGGAAAGAAAGAAAAAGGAAGAAAGAAAGAAAGAAAGAAAAAGAAAGAAAGAAAGAAAGAAAGAAAGAAAGAAAGAAAGAAAGAAAGAAAGAAAGAAAGAAAGAAAAACAAGGAAAGTAGCACAGGCAGAAGTGAAGGTGAGGAGCCTCTTGGCCCAGCTTGCCGTCTATAATAGTCTCTATCAGTGCTCTGAACAATCTTTTTTATCCTTATCAGGTTTTAATTACCTCAATAATCTCAATTTCCTCCAAAACATATTTTTCTCATGGGAATTCAAGCAAGTTTAAAGCTGTGAAGGAAGACACTCTCTGACTTTGATTATTTCTTTTTAAACCTTTAGCTATTAAAATGCCAGTTAATTATATTTTAATTATGACATGAGCTGCTTTCTAGTTATTAAACCATATGTTTTTCTTATTTACATTATGTAAGGTTATAAAAACAAGACACACAGTTTATCAGAGCATGAAACAGAAAACCCAAACCTCATTTAATCTTCCACATACCTCTAGTTTCTGTGCCCACATCACGTACTTTATGAAAGTCCCATTGTGTCTGGTGGTGCAATCAGAATGCTGATCATCCTCATTACTAAGCCACTGTTATCATGAATAATAGCTCCACCTCCTGCTGGTATTTTCCCAGTTACTTCCTCTTCCCAAGTCCATGAAGTAAAAACCTCCAACTTGATGATACACCCACCTCATTTCCCACTTTACCATATTTCTTATCTTTGGTAATTCTTTCCTCGTGGTTGCTCCAGAAGACGCCTACTTCTGAGCCTGTGGGGTCTCCTACAAGCTATGATTTCCCTCCTCCTTCAAGCTTGGATTCTTTTTTGTCTATGGGAACACTCCCTGGGCACAAGCGGGGCTTTGTTCAGTTCCAATATAACCCTCAATCTGGCCAGTTTGTATGCAGTTTGCTTCTTGGATTCCACAGTCCCGGGCACCAGCTCTCACCCAGGTACATTCACAAACAGTATGACCACCATCCAGTACAATCTTCCCACCAGCTGATGCCACTGGAACTGTGTGCAAACTACCTTGGTATCGCCTACCAGTTACTTTTGAAAAATTAGACTGCCTGAAAATAATACTACTAGAATAAACAAAACTCCAAAGTCCTTATCATTTCAGTTATTGCTTAAGTGCCCTCACACTTAAACTATGAATTCATTTAGTCTTTGTGATGATCCCACAGGGGATGTTATTGCTCACAGTTCACTGATGATAAAGTATGGCACATGGAGGATGAATGCGGGACTAAGGGCCAGCAGTGGGGGATCCAGGATAAGAATTCAGGCAGGATCATATCAGATGCTACATCACTGTGCCAGTCAGCCTCTTTTACAGTTTTTCAAATCTTTGCCACTGCTTGGCAGAAAGAAATCCCTTTATTCTTCATTTTTTAATTACTGAGCAAACAACATGTTAGCTACAGAATTTGAAAATCCTGGGGAAAACCACATATTCTGGGAGATCTAAGGGGACAGGATCTGAACATGTACTGTGGTAAAAGATTATGACATTGAAAGAAACTGACTAATGTTAAAAAGTAAGAAAAGTTCTTTCCATTCTGATGAGCATTGCTTTTCAGGAAGCATCTGCCCATGAAATAAAGAAAGAGCAATTTAGATTTAAGTACAGGTTGGAGGATTAAAGGAAGAATGTTTTTCAAAAATGCTCTGGCTCTTTGTGGAAGACTTTCTATATGAACTTGATGAATGGATAGCTCTTGTCTTCGCTCACCTTCCTGGTGGCATGAATACTATAAGGATTGGCCAGTTAGGGTTTTCCTTTAGTTTGCACAGTAGATTTCTATGACTTGATTTTCCTGTACTACAGTGAAGCTGTTTAGTCCACTTACTGGGATAGTCTGCCCTAAGTTAAATTCTCTGAGTTGTAAGGATGGGCGAAGGGGAAATTCAAGAAGGAAAGGGAGAATTCTCCTTTAGAAAATTTAAGAGCAAAAATTATAATTTTATCTTGATACCAGGTAAATAATCTTATTTTCCCTTTTTCCATGGACAAAGAAATTCATCTCCAGAAAACTGATTTGGTGTTGCAAATGGTTTACAGCAGTTTCCTGCTTTATGATACATTCTCTTATTTTGTAGACAAACATTTGCCAAGTACCCATGAGGCACAAGCTTTCACTTGTCTACAGTCTGCATGGAAATTAGTCACTGTTTAAGTTAAAATTAAGTTAGTACTAAAAAAAACAGGGAGAAAAATATTTTATTTAAAAAATAACCTAGTGGTAAGTATTTTGGAGTGTATCTTCATGGTTAAGGAAATACACTAAAAGAATTTCTTACTGGTGACACTACATAAGACTGTAAATTAGTAGCAGTAAGGTTTCTGGTGTGACAAGAGCAATAGTTCAATAGCTAACCACAGTCTTTTGCAGATGAGAATTTTGTTGGAAAACAAGTCATTTTTATGAATTATTTTCTGTAGATGACTCAGAGAAAGATAGTGAGGAAAACAGAGCCAGCATTAATTAAAAATTTGGGCATAGTTTAAATGTGGGGCATGATTTTATCATAACATGCAACTAACTGTATTATAGTAGTTATGTCATGTGTCTCTAGACATACATCCCTGAAAGTAAGAGACTACAACTTAATCATTTTTGATCTCTAACAGATAATTGACATGCAGAAGGTACTCAATAAATGTCACTGAATGAGTTCATAACTGCCATAGTCCTCTAGTAACAAAGGAGATGAATATGTTATCAACTCTTGCCTGTGCCCAGTACTTCTAAAGATATTTTGGGTCCTTGAAGGTTGTGATGCTCTTCTCCTGCCACTGATTAAGTAGTAGCACATCTGAGTGACTTTATCTTATCTGAAACCCAACCGAATTTAGAATTGGTGCCACCTGAAGAGTTGATGGTTTGGGGATATAGGAAGCTGCCTCTAGATTCTCCTTTGTCCAAACTCAAGGATACCAGGGCATCCTCAGCCTTACCACATCATTGCTGCCCAAAAGGGTGATTCAACTGAACTCTTCAATTAGTGTGTCAAGTGTGGGCCTACTTTCCACCTCACGGCCAGGTTCCACTCCAAGGAAAGATAATTCTTTTTTCTTGATGTCTAATTTTAACAAAATAAGAACCAGCACTTTGAACTCTGTGAACAATATTCTTGTCCAGATTCCCCATAAATTAGATTTCTCTAGACAATCCATGTCAGTACTCTACTAGCCTGCCCCAACTCTGTAATTGTTCATTCACATTTTGTCTCTAGACTGTGGGTCTGATGCAGCAAGCAAGTCCAACAAGACAGCACTCACAAGAGACCAAAAAGGCAGGAACAAATAAAGCTTTATTGAGCTGGCTGATGGACAGTCCCTAACCAGCAGCGAGAGAAGATGTGCACCCTGATCTAGGTCTCACCTTTAGTTTAAGTACATCTTAGGTTTCCATAGTAACCACTACCTCATTTTTGGGAATTTTACAAGAATGTCACATAATGAATACAAGATTTACATTTCCCAGAAGTTGCTGAACAGCAAGATTCCAGATGACCATTGTAGTTTAACTTTTAGTCTACTTCCCAGTTTGTCCTGTTTGTTCTGTTCCCACTTTATGACTCTGCTCTCCATTAAGTGGGTTGATGACTAACCAAGGGGAGTGGGTGAAGAGTGGGGTCAACTACAGCTTAAATGATTTCTCTTAATATGGAGGTAAGGAAAGAAAACGGTGTCTCTCTTGCCTTATCATGTCCTGACACTGAGAATGCATGGAACATTGTCATGTTTCTACAAGGGTTTCCCATTTGTCAGTCATTTGCATGGCACTTCCATGATTTTTACCACATGTGCATTTCACTGTTACTAGTATAGTCTTAATATTTTTCTTTAAATTGATTTTCTACTTACTCAAATAAATGTAGTCTTATCTTATGCAATATCATCTGTGAAAATGATAGACTTGAAATATTGCAATGCTGTGTAATAGATACTTATTATATCATCCAGAGTTACTGGATTCAAAGTCCTAAGTCATCACCATTTGTTTCTTCATTACACTGTCTTTTCCAGGTTATGTTAATTAATTTTATTTATCTTCTATCTTATTTTCTTAACTTTGCCCTATTTTATGTTTTTCATTTTATTACAGATTACATATTCTATAAATAGGAGTTACAGGTTTAAATAAAAAGATAGGGGAATAATCTCCAGCAGCTCAAGAACTATTTCTAGTTCCAAGTCTCTCAATACCTATCTTTAAGGTTTTGATAATGTAGTCTCTGAACCTTTGTTCTTGTTGAGAAAAATTATCAAAAAATTCTCACATTGTAAGATTTATTGTAACCTGAAACAGATGAAAATATATTGATTTCCTTACAAAAGCATTTTTTTCTCAGAACACCTAGTATTATGGACCAGAAAACATATGAACTAATAGTTGAATGAAAAAATAAAGTTGAGTGCCAATTTAAGTTTTGATTGTTTTCCTCAATATTCCATAGAAAACATGTTAAAATACAGTGGTGCCTTAGTTTATGAATGCTTTTGTTTGCAAACAATTTGATTCACAAACAGGAGCATTTTGCCAAGTTTTGCTTTTGTTCACAAATTCCACATTGGGTGGCTAACACAGACTGTAGCCATCTTTCCCACACAAACACAAACATGTCCATTTTCTCCAGAACTTAATTTCCAGGACAAATTAAGTTCATGAAGTAAGGCAACACTCTTTACCAAACGAAATATGAGCTAATAATTCCAGAAAAAAAGTTCTAGGTCAAAAAGATGAGTTAATCTTCAAGTCCTATTTGTTTTTTATATGTATCTGTCTCTCTCAACAGGCCAGGTATTCTGGAGAGAAGAACACACTCAGTGAGACCATGGATGATCGTCTTTATTACTACAGCCATTGTGCTGACTCTGGCAATAATTATTGGTCTCCTTGTTTATTTTTTAGAATATGGTATGTATGTATCACTGTATTACTTTGTAAATTTAAAGACAAAAACAATTTATTTTTAAGTCAATACTTTTTAATATTTCAGAATAAAGTTTTCCTTTGAATACATTTGCATATACTTGAAAAATAAACCTTCATGCGTAAGTATTGTTTCTAGCATTTAATATTTGGAATGGCTCATATAATAGTATTTCTTAAAAAATAATAAACTCACATGATATATTATTTATGGTAAAATAATATTCCATAAGCTAAGGGCAAAATTGTTTTAGTAGAAATTCTAACTCTGAGATAGACTTATGAAAATATGTTAACACTTAAATGTGTTAATTATCACTAGCAGGTAATATTTGTCTCAGGTCATGACTGACAATCACAGTGACTTGAAAAATATGTGACCTTGAAAAAGGGTTGAGAGAGATATTGACCACAGCTCTTACATGTTTAGTTTTTATGAGTTCTCTAATTATGTGACTGACAAGGTGTTTCGGGTTGCTATAGCCAGATACCTGAAGCTGGATGTTTATAAAGAAAACAAGCTTAGTTTGGCCCAAGTTCTCAAGGGTGGACTGGGTGACTGCATCCAGCGAGGGGCCTGGCTGCATCATTGTGGAGAGGTCCACTGGATGACAGCAGAAGATGTGAGAGCCCAAGATGCAGCAAGAGACTGGAAAGGGCTTGCTCCTTCATATATCCACCTTCATGGAACTAATCCACTCCTGTAGATATCTTACACTCTTCACAGTAGTAATCTTACTCTCTTCACAGGGCCCAGTCATCTCCCACAATCCCTCCCCCTTTTAATTCCATTGTGCTGGACCCGAAACTTCTAGTACATGAGATGTTAGGGGACAAATCATTCCATCCATAACAATAGCATTCTTTATCCCATCTGCTTCTTATAGTTTCTACAACTCAGGTGAACTAAACAGAAATCATCCCTTTCTGTTCTTCCTTCCAGATCAGACAACTCACTATTACCAGGCCTCCCTGCAGATCCCCAGTATTGACTATAATCCTGACTTTTCTGTGGAACATTCAAGGACTAGAACTGATCTGAAACAAAAAATCAATAATGAGGTAAGTGTGAGCTTTGCCAGCAATATTACTACCCAGGAAACTTTGATTGAGGAAAAAGAACATGGCAGTGCACAGAAAGCTTTGTTACAAGAAGCAGTACTCTGAATTAGAGGTAGGTCAATCCTCGGAGCCAGAAACATCTGTTTTCCATTGTTGTGAGTAAGAAGAGGCAGACTGAGAACAAGCTAATTACATCCTTGTGAGGGTTGCCAGGTAGGATACATAATGCCCATTTACACTGTCATTTCAATTTCTCCTGAAAATATATTCATGAAGCACTTGAAACATACTTGTAGTAAAGTATCACTCATCGTTTATCTGAAATTCAAATTAACTTTGGTTTTACTTGCTATATCTGGCAACTCTGATCAACATTATCTCAAAAAGTCTAGAAAATACATTATATGGAAAATCATAGATTAGACTGGAAAAACACAAGCCCCACAGAAAAATCCATAGCTCAGTCACAAAATAAATCATTAGAGTTATCTGGAAATAACTCAATTATTTAGGCACAAGAAATATTGTCACAAACCATTAGAACATATGTGTAGATAACCCTGACACATTTCCCATTAGATAACTTAATGCCAAATATCCACTTCTGAAAATATACCACACAAACACACAGACTGGCTCTTTCACTAAAGACTTGAATTGTGCACATAGTTGCTATGGAGGGAAGCATTGACCAGTGAAAGATGGCAGAGCATTCAGAACCAAAACCATTTCCTTCATCATTTCTTAGTCAGAAGCCAAAGCTGGTGCCATGAGTTGAAGAATGCAGCCAACTGGGGTGTGAAGATCTCTTCAGAAACTTAGTTACAGGAAATTTTGATTTGAGGGAGGAAGAACAGAGTATAGATTGCTACAGGTTTTATGATTACTTATTGGATTAAAGACAAACTAACCTTTGGAGTTGGAAACAGCTAGATTTATATTCCAGTTTATCTTTGTCACCCTAATATGAAAAAATGATTTAAATCCAAATTTTCAACTACAAAGTATGGGCAATTTCACTAACCTCTTGAGATAGTTTGAGGATTAATAGATGTAATGCATTAAAAGTGTGAAAAGGAATGTCAGAATAAATGCTTCCATGTGTTTCCAGTATTCTCCTGAAAACTTCATACTCCTCTGCTAAAGCATTAAACACATTATAGCAACATTATTGTGGCATACACCTTTGTCTGCTCCAGCTTGCAAATTCACTTATGCCAAACAAAGATGGCAGATCTTGGACAGCTAAGATGGCTGAGTCTGCTCATGTTTCTGATGCCTCTCACAGGGTCATCACATGGTAGGACCATGAAAATACTCATCAAGCAGATGACTGGAAAGTAAATGAACAACTCATTAGTATAGGTCCTGCCCTCTAGTGTAAGTGGAGATAACATAAAAAAAAAAGAAAGTTCCATAATTTATATCAGGAATCAGAGAACTGTGAAATACAAGATAGTAAATATTTTCAACCTTGTAAGCATACAGTCCCTGTGCAACTACTCAAAGCCCTTAGGGACTCTCTAGACGGTGATTTAGAATTGCCCATAAGGCTTTTCTTTATACTTTCCTATAGTGATTCCTTTAAAAAATTTTTTTACCATGCATGCATATTAATTTTATATATAATTTACATATATGTATATAAAACTGTTTCCTTAAAAATGTTCCCTTCTCATCAGTTACAGGTAAAACATGATGTTATTTTCCTTAACAATTATTCCTTTTTCCATAAACTTTTCACCAACTTATCATGTTCTCACATGACGTCTCACTGAAGGAAAGTTCATAAATTAACCTAGATGAATGAAAAGCAGTTAACATGCATTATGTTTTATGATTTGGCAGTTCTTTTCAACTAATTTGTGGAATTAGCTATTCAGACTGAGGTTCACTTGAAGTTTGACAGATGATGAGTCATTGGCAATAAACGGGCTTATAAAACCACAAATTCTGTAAGATGACTCAGTTTTATTAAGTAATAATTTGATCCAGGAATTTTTATCACAGAGGTTTTATCCACTGCAGGAAGTCTAAAAACACACTGATGATTACTTTTCCTAAGTTATCATTTCACACATTTCTCTTGATAAGTTATTGGTTTAAGAGAAATGTGCAAAACACATATGATCTCCTCCTCTTCCCTGTTTATCACAGAATCAAAAGTCCACCTAAAAATTTCCAAAAAAGTTTAAAACACTGATTCTTCAATCACATCCATAAGTCTGATAATTGAGTTTGAAAGATCTTCGGTAATGAGTCCACACATAAACTTTCAAAGATACTCAAATCTCTGTACTTCTGTTATGGTTTGTGTCTGGGTGTTCACACAAAGCCACATGCAGTCATGGGGCAGGCTTTTAGACTTTATGATTGATTCATGGTCCAATGTTGAAATTATGGATGTGAATGCTACACCTGCCTTGGGGCAGTTAGTTTGCATACAATGTAAGGGAGGGAAAGAGGTTGCTTGTCACTGCTCCATCCTTTTGCTCTTGTTGCTTTTGATATTTTCTACTGCCATGAGCTGTTGTCCTCTGCCATGTGCCACACTGCCTTGAAGCCAGCTAAGTATGGACTGAAACCTCCAAAAACTGTGAGCTAAATAAACCTTTCCTTCCTTAATTCTGTGCATCAGGTATTTTGTCCCAGCAACGAGAGAAAAGTAACCAAGACAATTTCCCACTCCTAAATTTTATGGTAGGTGGCAAAACACCTAAGTATATCCATCTTTATATCAGTCATCTGTGAACATGCAGCAAATGTTCAAATATCAATACCAATTATAGGGATGATATTATGACAACAGGATCATGCTTAAATGTGCTTTTGGAAGATAATTATGAACACTGAAGTAAATGATGTTTGTATATCAGTAGGCTTTAAGCATTGTGATATATTAAAATGTGTGAAATTTGTTTTCAACGGAGTTGTGTTCTTTTTCTTTTTACAGATAAATAAGATATTTCAAAGATCCAGTTTAAACCATCATTATATCAGGTCTCATGTTGTCAACTTTAGGTAACCATAACTAATTAATCTGAATGATTTAAAAGTCTTGAATTATTTAGTTACTTTTCACTTCTTTTCTCTGTGAGCAGAATCTAAGATTTTAGACAGCAAGAAAAAAGGAGATAAAATGGTATTACATTGTTATTCCTCCTATACAGAGTATTTATAGTGGCAGAGCTTCTTGAGTAATACTAAAATATGTCCTACTTGCTGTCTCTTTAAAGACTTTTGTATTTCAATTAAAGATTCTTAAATCATTAATTATGTCTCAGTTTTACTTCTCAAGTTATTAACAGCTATAATGAATTTTTAAAATTCAAGAATCTATATTAACATAGATGCTATATACATAAAGTTAGTGAGTTTAAAACTTTTCATTAATTTCCAGAAAAAACAAATTCTAGAACTGTGAAACACATTTGCGCCTCTTTGAATAACACCAAGTTTTACAAGCAAGGCCCAGTCCACATAGTCAAACCTATGTGGTTGAAATGATTAAGGTGTGATATATTTGTGTACCAGCTCCCCAACATGGATGTAATTATTATGTGTTGCAAATCCATACCTATAAAAAAATCCCACACACAAAAAAAGAAAATTCTCGGGCCTTGTTCCCAAACTGCTAAGGCTCTGAGCATGAGGTCTGGAGAGTTGTATCTTAAATCCTCCAGGTGAATTTAATGTTTATTAAAGTAATATAAACAAATACATAAATAAATAAACCTGTGTGATACATGAAGGGGAAGACCATAACAAAATTATAAAACATTTACAGTATATTTTAAAGGATGTAATTAATATTTATTAATGTAGAGCATATTAATTTCTATGGCTATAACCTCACTCATTCTGTTCCCATTGTTTTATAGGCCAAATAATCATGGTTTGAAAGCAGACATACTGCTTAAATTTAAGTTTACTTCTAAGAATGCAGGCACTATGAAGAGACAAGCTGACAAGATTGTGCATGAGAATATGAAATCTGATGAGAGCTTCTTGAAGATAGATACTTCATTACCTTATCTCAGAGGCAAGAAACACTATTTTTTCTTCCCTTTTCATAGTTAATGCTTTCAAGAATCTTCTCATGCACAGAGAAAGATTCTTTATTGCACCATAACATAAAACTTTTCATTTAAAGTATCTCAATTACTTGATAATAAGCAAATCCCCACACAACACCAAACATTTTGTCTTCAGCTAGTAGGGAAGTTATTATAAAACAAGAACTGTACACTTACCAAACATAGTAGTATCTATTCTCTTTTTAAAAATCTTAGTGGAATTGTTTTAAATGAGTAAGTCTGCATGAGATAAAAGCCTACACTATGTTCCTGAGACAGTCATTGTAAAGGCTGGTCCTTCCTCCTGCCATCTACTCCATCTGAACCCAGATTGTGAAGGTGGTGTGGACACGTGAGCCACGATGCACAGCGCATGATGTGCCGTGGGCTCCAGTGGAAGCAGAGCGGGCATTACTCTCCCATGTCCTCACAGGGCACCGGCCTGCGAGGTCCGCCCACTCATGGAGCGGGCAGGAGAAGGAAGACGCCAGACCCTGATCAGAGCTGTCCCGGGCACAGAGACAGCTGCATCTGCAGCACGGACACAATGAAAGGGTGGAGAATGTGTGAGGTGTAAAATTAAACAAAGGTTCTTCTAATTCTAAGACTGTTGTATAAAGCAATTTAGAAAGTAAAAGGCTATCTGCTAGATTTATTTCTACTTTTACTCATTCTGTGTCTGTCTTTCCTTTCTGATGTTCTAGTCTCCTTCGTTATCATTTGCATTTTGTTTGGAGAGCTCCTTCAGCCACTAAGAAAAGGGCTGCTGGAGACAAATTCCTTCAGTCCCTTTTTGTTACTGGGAAGCTGGATCCTGAAACTGCGAGGAACTAGCCCTTGCTCCTCGGTCCTCTGCGCCTTGGGTGAAGGAGTTTAGTCACGATACCTATGCAGTGGTACAGGAGGAGTTTATTGTGAAGCAGATGAGAGTTACAACTCCAGGTCAGAAGGCAGGCAGTGCCAAGAAGGAATCTCCACCAAGAAGTGGCACATTTGGGAATCTTTTTATGCACACAAAAGTTAGCCCTGAAGTTCAGGGAAGTATGGTGAATACTACGTCCTATCTACATGGAGTGTATGCTTATGGTCACTTGCCTTAGAGGTAAAAATGTCTCCTTGCTCTTTTCAGATGGTCACTGTCCACTCAGCGGCCTTAACCATGTAAGAAACTTACAAAAGAAATTTAGGAAAGAACAAGATCTAATTTAAATGAGGACTCGGCCCAAGGCAGAAGGGGCTTTGTGGAGGTTTCCTTTCCTAATATCATTGGGCTGTAGGCCTTCGGCACCAGGAATGCTGTGTGCCTTGTGGAAGTGGACAGGTCTGTATTATGATGAACATGCACAGTGCATAACCTTAGCACGTCGGGGTGCTCCGTGGGGTGGATTGGGCTCTCAGGCCTAACAAAGAATTATAAATGGATCACACGCTGAGATCTGTTTCTTTATTTAACTATAGATGGCAAAGTATGCTGTTTGAAATCTTTCATCCTTCAGGTCTGTCAGTGCCAAAGTACTCACCTAACATTTTCATCTAAGAATATATATATTTTCTATTTCTCAAGGCTAAGTAAAAACATCATGGGATTCTGGGGATAGCTCTTTCTTTTAGAACTTGAAAAATTCTATATTATTTCCTTTTGGCTTCTATAGTTTCAGATGAAAAACATGTCTTTAAAATAGTGTTGCTTCATAGGTAATGTATCATTTTCTCTATTAACATTCTTTTGTCTTTAGTTTTTAGTAGTTTAATTGTGGTGGGTCTAATGTGAACCTCTTTTAGTTTATTCCATCTGGGTTTTCTCAGCTTCTTGAATGTGTAGAGCTCTTTCACCTACTTTGACAAATTTTTAACCACAAATTTTTTACTTCTTTTTTAGTCCCACACTCTTTAGACTACTTCTAGAAACTTGATGATTTATTAGGTTTTTTTTTTGTTAGAATCCCACAGATCCCAGAGGCTTTGTTGATTTTATTTTCAGTCTATTTTGCTGTTTTTCAGGCTAAGTAAATTCCCCTGGATTGTCTTTGAGTTACCGCTTCTACCCTCTATCATCTTCACTATGGTGTACTATTGGCACCGTCGAGCAAGTTGGTTTATTATTAATTATTAGTATTATTATTATTTTATTATTTTAGTTATTATAACCTCTGATTTCATAATTTCTATGGTCATTTTTTATTACTTCAATTGCTTTCCAAGGAATTAGACTTGCTTTATAAAGTATATTCATGGAAGCTCTTTAAATCCATGTGAGAGACTTCTAGTCTTTTATTCATCTCAAAGTTAGTATCAGTCAGTTGTCTTTTCTTATTAAAATTGTAATTTTCCTGTTTTTTTCCTGTGGTAAGTTTTTGTTTGTATTCTGGACATTTTAGTTATTGTGTTAGGAAGCTCTTGGTTATATTTAATTCTTCAATTTAGCAGGCAGTCAGCCTATTTAGATTTGGAGTGCAGATTCTGACCTACTTTTGGTGTCTCAATAAGAGGCTTTCAAACCCTTGTAGTGCCCTGGTTTGCTGGTGCTGCCTCTTGGCTCCTGCTGCTCGCGGTGTATGCGGGAGCGGACAGTGTTTCTCTGGACAGCCTTGTATCAGTGCGCACAGGGTAGATGCAGGTGTCTGCCGATGTTGTCTCTGAGAGTGTTTCAGGCTACCAGACAGTGCTGACTGTAATGTGCAGAATGCGAAGGGCAGGCCTTCTTGTTGGCACTGCTTCTAGAAGAATGGGCTGCGAGGCTCTGATTCTCAGGTAAGAGCTTGAGCCTCCCACTTGGCCTCTGTTGTCCTTCTGCTTTCCCAGTACTTGGCATACACAGAGCAGACTTTCCTTGGGATTATTTTACCTTTGCTTGCTGACAGTTACAAACTGAAGGCCATTTTGGTTCCCAGTACAGGTTTTGTGTGATAAAAAGAAAGCCACAAACCTACTGCTTGTCCTTCCTCAAATTTTGAAATGTTTAGTCTTTTTGTCTTTCCAGGCTTCAGAGCTCCTTTACTGCTACCTGATAATAACTTTCAGAGTACAGTCATCCCTTGGTATCAAATACTACATAAAAATGGTAGTATATTTGTGTATAATGTACACACATCCTCCTGTGTACTTTAAATCATCTCTGGATTATTTATAGTGCCTAATACAAGTGTTATGTACTTATAAATACTTGTTATATTGTATGGTTTAAACCATAATGACAAGAAAGCCAGGTGCGGTGGCACACATCTGAAATTGCAGCTCTTGAGAACCTAAGACAAGATTGCCGTGAGTTTGAAGCCAGCCTGAACCACACTGGGAGACCATGTCTAAAAAATAATGACAAGAAAAAAAGTACATGATGTCAGATGAATTTTTTTCAAATACACAGACTGTCTGAATGCACAGAAGAATCAGCAAACACGGAGCACTACTATAATTATTATCATGGAGAGATAGTAAGCAAATAGCTTTTGTTATACTTCCTGGCACATAAGATGTAGTAAATTATTAGCATTGCTGTTCATTTATTCACTCAGAAAGTATGTGTTCCAATTCTATTTGAGTCAGGAACTGAAATCTCTGTCCTCACAGAACTAATATTTTAATTGCAGTAAGAAAGAGAATGATCTCCTAACTAAATAAACCAGATAATATCAAATAATGTGACCCTCCATGGAGAGAACAAAGAGTAGGAGACTGCTTAAATTTGGTTGTCATGGAAAGACTTGTGATGAGAGGAGTTTTAAGCTGAGATCTGAATGACAAGGGGGCATCAACCGTAAAAAGGCCAGGGGAAAAGCATTGCTGAAAAAGAGGGTGACTGATACAGAGACCGCAGGCAGGAACACCTCCCTGCAGAAACCGGAAGCCCAAGGTGGCCTCCGAGTCGGGAAGTTGGGTGGATCCTGCAGTGAAAAGGTTGCCAGACCAGATTTTTCTGAGATAGAGAGCACATCACATAGATCCCAATAGGAAGTCTGGCTTTATTCCAAATGCCAGATGCCACTAAGGATTGTTATTATTGGCAAAACTTAATTGCAAGGAACTTATTCTAATGAACACCTGAGCACGGTTCCCGTCACATGAACCCACTGTTCATCTTTAATGTTTGACATAAAGACTCGTTTTGTAACTGTACTGAAACCCTAGACTGCTTTGCATCGTGACACATTATGTCTGAATTTTCATTATACTTACTGGCACAAAGAATAATTCAACTAATTTGGGGGGATAGCCACACATTATGCATTCCTCTATTTTACTTTATGAAAAACATGACTCATAGGGTGACCTCTGAGGACTTATTACTGTATTGGTGATGCGAGTCCAACGGGGAGCCTTTGTGGAGCAAACCCAGATGCCAGACTTCTGGGATGCTTTGAATGTCATTACCACACACTGCCGTGCAAGTGAGGACAAAGGAAAAGTCTTCAGACAAATAGCAGAGCCCTGTAAAACCGGTCTTTTTGTTTAACTTCTATTTTAATAAATTGTTATGACACTGATTAACTTGATGGCTTGCCGGCTTCTCCCTTCAGGCCAAAAGTATCCTTTCTATGCTAATGATTTTATAGTCTCATACCAGATTTTCCTGGATTCTGCACACACTCAGAAGCATTTAATTTAGCTGGGAGCAGTGGTACGCACCGGCAATCCCAGCATGCTGAGGGCTGAGGTGGAGGATGCCACCTTTGGGCATAGTCTGGGCCATTTAGCAACTTAGCAAGACCCTATCTCAAAATAAAAATTAAGGAAAAAAGCTTGGAATGTAGCTCAGTGCAAAGGCTCTGAGTTCAGTCCCAGATACCACACACACACACACACACACACACACACACACACACACAATTTGCATACAGGCCTCTCCTTTTTACAGAATTTTATTCTATTGACTGTAAGAATTTTCTGACTAATGGGAATTTTTCTTCCAGCCAGAAAAATTCATGTCACACAGACATAGTGTTTAAAATTAAAATGGTCTCATTGCTGAGCACTGATTATGATTTTGCTTTTTCCAGAAGTAAATGGAGCACAAGCAGAGCATTTTCTGAACAGCTGTAAGTGCAAGAATATTACAGAGATGTTTATAAATTGAGAATGAAACACCAACACTTGTAGCGTTTCTCTACTCCCATGTTTACTATTTCTCAAGTGTATGTAAATAAGTCTAAATGAACATGTGATTTAGTTCTCCCCAGTGGGGGGAAAAATTGCTACTACAAGTTGAATCCTTGAGAGTACTTCTTTCCCAAAGCAAATTTTGTGATGAATCCTTCAATAATTCCTTGCGTTTTATCAGATGTATTTGTATTTGTCTCACTATGTCCAAGCAGAAAATTTTGTATAGAAATTAAATGCCATTCACCAACTGTAATACAGAATCTTAATATGAAATCTTATGTTATAATGGTGTAATGCATTTAAAAATATTTCAAAGCAGTAAAATGAGATTTTTCTGCAGTAAATAGTGTGCACCTAGCAACCCTCAAAAATGTCAGCTGTCACTGAGGTAAACTACTGCACGTAAGAACATGACCCCAAAAAACAAGACAAAAGCAAATTTTAAAGGGAAATTGCTTCAAATACCCCAAGGAATGTATTTAATATTATTAGTGGTTTAAAATTAGAATCATCCGACCTCAGCCATGCAAATAATTATTACTCCATTATACGCAATGTTAATTTCAATGAGTTTTTAAGGCCAAGTCACACCCAAAAAAGTTTCCATGCTTAACAGTACACCCAATGTTTACACCTCTGTAAATAGCCGTCTTACTCCTTTCTGCCAGGTTGTGGTTTAGGGATGGACTACCCACTCATGGAAAGAATTGCTCAAGGCCAGGTTGCAGAGCCAGCCGCGTGGCCGTGGCAGGCCAGCCTGCAGGTGGACGGCACGCACTTCTGCGGGGCCTCCCTCATCAGCGAGGCCTGGCTCCTCACCGCCGCGCACTGCTTCGACACGTGAGTCCGCCCCTTCTGCCCGCGCAGCCCCTGATCCTGCTCGTTTCCTTCCCGGACCGCCTGGTCTCCCAGGGGCGGCCGCGCTGCGCACAGGTTTAGGGGAACAGCGACACTTACTGGAGAGCACTAGAAAAAATCAAGCCTGTCTTCAGCTCTGTCTAAAAGTGTGCTGTCCTGCAAGCTCAGTTTTACCTAGGAGCAAACCAACACTGACGGGACTGAGAAGCGTTCGCCAGGTCTGCTGAGATACGTTGGAGGCTTTCAAAACTCCGTTAACGCCATCCCAACCTACAGTTTCTATTCTTATCCCACGTGAATACCCTCAGTGCTACACTTTTATTGCTTTTTTTTTTTTGAAAATTTGACATGTGGGATACATGGAGATAATAAAGAGATACAGTAATCCCAGTGAAATTCATATAAATAAGAAAATATTCTGGATAAAATGTCAATAAAAGGAAGCATTAAAAAGCTACATAAAACACATCTCTAACTTTATCTACCCGTGTTTCTGTCTCTGTTTTTCTCTATTTCTCCTTCTCTCTTTCTGCCCATAGTTACACATAAACATATAATTTGAGCATGGGTATGTATGCGTATGTGTACCTGTGTGAGCATATGTGAACAGGCCTAATATTTATATTTTCTTAAATTAATCTCTATTATTTTAGAACAAAACGGCAATATTATATTATTTCCTTTAATAATTATGATGTCTCCAAAAGACTAATAGAAGCTACCTTGCAATGGGGATTTGTTATTAATTAGTCTAAAGTGCAGCTATCCTTGGGGAAATGTTTCAAATAAAAAGTAAGGCGGTCTCCAGCAATGTCATGTTAAAAGATTTGTGGTTCTCTTGTACACATGCCCTGTGCTCACTCAGAGCTCTAGGTAACTTTAGATCAGAAATGAAACAATGTTCCTTCTCCTCTGTTATCAGTCACAAAAACCCTAAACTGTGGATGGCCAGCTTTGGAACAACCCTACGCTCTCCACTGATAAGAAGAAAGGTGCAGTCAATTATTGTCCATGAAAATTACGCTGCCCACAAGCACGAGGATGATATCGCTGTGGTGGAGCTCTCCACCCCTGTACTGTTCTCTGAAAATGTGCACAGAGTCTGTCTCCCAGACGCTACCTTTAATGTCTTGCCTAGGAGTAAAGTGTTTGTCACTGGATGGGGAGCGCTAAAAGCAAGTGGTACGTATCTCAGTTAAAACCAACCAAAAAGGAAGTTGTTTTAAAAATAAACCTACCCTCTTTTAGAATGGAGATGTGAAATGAAATACAAAACCAAGATGTGTAACTATGCACCTATTTTTTTTTTCAGTTGCTCTTTTTCATATGTAGAGATTCTGCTTAGCTGCTTGATTCATAAAATATATGTTTTGCAAGCTCTGGTAAGGATGCACTGCGGAAGAGCCTTACAGCTGAACAAATCTCCTCAAGCGAGGAATCAAATGACTGTTCTTTCCTGCGCAGTATATACTAAACAGGGTCCCACAGATTCATACACTTATGAATCTGTTCTTGAGCCTGAGACCCTAAAAAAATAGTTAAAAAGTACAGCATTTTACTGTACTTAATAATACACAATAAACATCAAGCATAGATTATTAAGTTCTTATGTAAGTCTCCAGTTCCTGTTTTTTGGTTAGACATTTTATATATGATTTAATCTACCCTCATAGTCCAGATTTCTATTCTAGGCTCCTATCTGAATTTGTGTCTTACTTATGTACTTACTCAAAGTATAGCTTTGATCTACTCAGGGTTTATAAGTTGGTTGTTATAGAAGTCTATTTCCTTCCAAGATGCGCTTAAAAATTCTGCTTCTGTATCGAGTCCAGATTGATACATTATTGGTATCAACTGAAAGTTGTTTTCCTCATCCTGGGGCATCTGCTTTATTCTGTAAAGAATGGGAACAAAGAGGAAGGGGAATTAAACCCTCTAAGTTTTAAAACTATTCCCTGATCAGAGTGGAAATAAGAAGCTTGATTATACGTGAGTAACCTCGTTATACTTCATCTAGATCTAACTATAAATTTAACACCTCTTCATCCCAGATTGATAGTTTGAGGTAATTTGGTATTTTTGTCTGATTTTTTCAAAGCCAGATAGTGTGCAGGTCATGTGCAACCAATTGTCTACTCCGACAAAATGTATACTTTTTGGAAGTAACATTATGGATTTGTAAGCTTTCGGACTGAGATTAATTAATAAATATTAGGTGATGGTTCCCTTCTACATTTGGAACTGATTCAAGATTACTCAGGTCTTCTCTTCCTAAGAGTCATCCAATCATATCTATTAGAAATCTTCTTACTGGACATCAGGGAACCTCCAGTGTTCCCTTTAATCTGTGATCCTTACGAAAACCTGAAACTATGGATGGCTAGTTTGGGGACATTTTTTTTTTTTTATTCCCTGGGTGGTTTTTTTCCTTGAGTAGTGAAAATGCAGAACAGCTTGTTATATTGTTAGCACTTGAACTGATTTTTAAAAGTTGAGAATAAAGAATTACCAGCGCTTACAGATTTAAAGCTAGCATCCTAGACCAATTCACCAGGTTAAAAGGGGTATGCAACAACTACAACTGCCTGAATACTAGCTGATTAAAGCCTAGGAACATGTAAAATATAAATGCCTCTGTAGAAAGCAAAATAGAATATTGCTGAGGCACTTTAACAATATTGAGATTGCATACTAATCTGTGTAATGGTGAGTGGATGCTCTCACTAGTAACATTTCAAGCAGAATCAGAAATGGAAAGAAGGAAAACTAGTCACTAACTACCATGCTTAAAAATGATAACTAAAATGAAGAAATTCCCTAGACCTTTGATAATCTTTAAGGATTAGGGAGAACTTGGACTTAGTTTTTCAGCAGAAAGGTGAGTAAATTTAAGAGTTTCAAAACAAGAAATTGGACTTCTTTACGCTGAAACTTCTTTATAAAACCCTTAGAAACCTAGATCTTTTCCTGTAAAGCTTATCACTATCCATGTAACACTGAAGTGCAGTTTTAAGATATTTACATGTATAACTCTAATTGCTACAATTCATATAATAGCTTCCATTCACAAAGCTTCTTTTTTACAATAAAAGATAAGTTGTTACTAATCTCTCCCAAAATACTGTCCCTCACTTCAAACACACTTCTCCCATGTTCTTGCCACTTTCTGAAGCAGTTCTGGAATTCCTCTTTTGTGAATGTTTTTCATCTCGCTCTTGCGGCTCTGTCCATGTCCTGAACTGGTTCAAAACATGAAGTTTTCATGGTCATGCTGATTTTGTGGAAGACGTAGAAAACAAATGATCCTGGAGCTGAGAATAAGAAGCATGAAGACAAATTAAAATGATTTTACGAGCCTTACTTTCCATTGGATGGAACTCAGCAACAGCATTTGCTGTATTTTTTTTAATCACACTTCTTAAAAACATGCACGAAAAGAGGATTTTCAGAACTGCTTTAGACAGTTGCAAGGATGATGAGATACATGTGTTTGAAGCAAGAGGAATCACTTTGAGAGGGATTAGTGACAATATGTCTTTCATTGTAATAATTTTAGATATTCTTTTTTATACTTTAAAGAGAGAAAAATCAATAAAAATGACACAGAATTTCAGAATAAGATGACAGGAAATTAACAATGGTTATTATATTGTGTTGTTATCTTTAAAGTAGTTGCTCAGATTACCAGATACAGGCATGCAAAATTGTTTAAACAGTATAAGCCCTAACTATTCCTTTCAGTACACTAATAGAAATTAGTAGTACAATTATCTTAGCTATCTTGTATTTGTGTGTGTGTGTATATGTATATATATATATATATTTTTTTTTTAAAGTTTCCCTTCCTTCTTTTCTCCTTTCCCCTATCCCAGTTATTCTTTCCTTTTAAGCAGTTTCTTTTCCTTTCACTATGTCTGTTGTACCTTTTGGATCTTATTTACTCTTTCAGTTTGTTACACTAGTGAGACAATATGATGTTTACACATGAAAGTCTGGTTTATTTCACTTATGTGTATGGTCTCTAGTTGCATACATGTACTTATAAAAGCCTTGAGTTTATCTTTTCTTTATAACTGAGTAGTTCTACACTGTATAAAAATACCACATCAATTTTTAACATTTACCATCAATCACCACTTATATCCAAAACCAAATGTGGAGAGAGGCACTATCCTACCTGACTTTATTCATTATTTTAACTCTCACAGTAAACACAAGATAGGCATCATTTCTTTCTCCCTACAGGTGAGTACAATAATTTGTGGTAACTTTTCCAAGGTCATGTAGCTCTTAAATTGTGTAGATAGTGCTCAGATTTGTATCTGCTATCTCCAAGACTAAGGTTCTCAAGCACAGATCTGGCCTGACTCTTTGCTCAAATTCATGCTCAAATAAATTGCTCACCTCCTCAATTTGAACTTACTACGAACAAACCTACATCTTTATGTAAATGATTAATTCAGTTTTTAAACTAGGAGCTATTAAAGAGAAATGAGTGCAATATAATGTCTAAAACAATACCACATGCAACTAAATATGTTCATATACTCAACCAATACATGGTGGGCTAATGAATAAAACATGATCTATTTCTTATTGACATTTCTACTTATCCTGCTAGTGCCCAAACTGATATCTCCACAGAGGACGCACCCCAAAATATAACGTTATTCTGAACACTGCCATCCAACCCAGAATCATACAACTTCAAGGCTAATGCTTACCACTGATGTGTGCTTTAGAAGCCACAATAATTAATTATCATAACAACAAAGTGGAAATTATTCATTTGTTCATTTCCCTTATTTAGGTCCATTTCCAAATACTCTCCGACAAGTTGAAGTGGAGGTCTTACATAACGATGTGTGCAATCAGGTTAATGTATATGGCGGTGCTGTGTCATCAGGAATGATATGTGCTGGGTTCCTGTCAGGAGAACGAGATGCCTGTGAGGTAAGAATAGACTCACAACCACAAAAAGGACTGCTGAGTAGGAATGGCCTTGTGGCCACAGGCTAGTGTCTCTTCACATCATTCCGTGAAACTCACTTTCAGGGGACAAAGGGGAGTAGAAAAGGCAAGTAGACAAGAACCAACCATAAAACATACACTTTGTATAATATCTGTATGAACAGAAGTCTAAAGGACCCTGATTAAATTAATGGAAACAGGTAGTAGATACCAAGCTATGAAGCCATGCAATCGATGGTTCAAATAACAGTCATAAACAAAGCTTGAGTATCAAATCCCTGCTAATAGCAAGCCTCTGTGAGATGTAATGTGCAGGCGTCTCTGGGGCCAGTACAGCTGAGCCTCACTGCTACCTAAATATTTAACTTTGCATCCCATTGGATAGAATTATACTATCTGAAACAAAACATAAGAAGTACAAATTTATATATACTCACTTTTACTAAAGTATTATTTCACAGGTTTTGACTGGAAATAAATTAAATAAACAGCATTTTATCCTGTAATACAAAATTTTAATTTTAAGCAGTAAGCTTACGACAATACCAGTTCTGAAATCTGGCTATTAAAAGGACTACAATTACATAACTAAAATACTAAAGACTACCTATCACATTTAAAACTGAGTATAACAATTTAGCACTGCCTTAAAGAAGTTTGTCTTAGAGAATTCGACATCTGTGTGTACTTTCCTTACACGCAAAGGGGCCACTATTGATCTGTCATTGGCTGACATATGATGATAATGAACATTACTCACTATTCATTCAAATGTTTTGTGAACTGCAAGGCAATGTGTCAAATACTGAGGGAAGCTTTAACATCTAAGAAACACAATCCCCAATGAATTTACAATCTAACTGTCACACAAGAAACTGAAACAAAAGAAAAGATGAGGACTTGGCTGCATTTTCTGGAACACCAACAACCTTCCACTCACCTTGTTGACAGGAGACAGTGGGAGTGGCCACGGAAGTCTTCATGATTTAGACACTTTAAATTTATCCACCAGGGCAAGGATTTCACCTTAATTTGGGAGCAGAAATCCTTTGAGTACACATTAGCAACAATGTTCAGGACACTCTTCCACCAATTAGCATGAGCAGAATGAGGTGAGATTCTAATGCAGAGCAACAGATTACTTCCAGCTAATGGAGTTAAGAGACACTTCATGGAGGAGGTGGCATTTGAGTCTTGAAGTCATCATCTGTGTAAGGACTGGCTGCCTGGACTGAAGTTCAGCTTGGGGTCTCTGTTTAGGCAAAGAAGAACTAAAAATTTTACAAAGGTAAAACTAGAACCCTTGTCATACATGACTTTCCCAATAAAGACACTAATAAAGAATATGCAATAAACTCACTGGTCATATTAGTACTAATTGTAAATTAAAAGAAATTTTATTAGACCTGTAAATCATTCATTTAGTAGACTGGGAGATAGTTATTAACCCTCATTTCTGTCCCATTTTATTCATCACATGAACCATATTTTTTTCTTCAGGGTGATTCCGGAGGACCTCTGGTCATTGCGCGCGATCGAAACGTCTGGTATCTTATTGGAATAGTAAGCTGGGGAATAGGCTGTGGAAAAGAAAACAAGCCTGGGCTTTATACCAGAGTGACTCATTATCGGGACTGGATTAAATCGAAAACTAATATTTGATGCAACAACTACCTCCACGTCCAAACTGCAAACGCCAAGAGTGCTCTCTGGCACATTGTGTTCAGTGTGTGTTGCGTGTGTATTGTCCTGAAGTTCAACCCTCCCCTTCCACGTGAGGAAGGCAGACTCTTCCACCTCACCGCAGCGCTTGGCTGACAATGAGCACAGAAGACTCTGTCAGCTCCGCAAAGCTCTGCCACTCCGGCGGTGCTTCCTTGCTCCTTGCCCTGGCCCTGCTATGCATTATTCATTTAGTGTAGTCTGTCACCTTACCCAGCAAAATTTCAACCAGCTGGGCATTCTCCACTTTCCCTGACTGGGCATGCATCTCTCCCGGGATAGCTCCGCAGTTTTTGTTTTCCTCATCAAATAATCCTCATCATGAAATTATTGCTCTGCGGACGAGACAAGCGCAAATCATTAGTTTTGCCCACGACAAACACCAAGGATGCGGGGAGCGCTGCACAGGAAGCGGCTTGAGAGACACTGTGACTGTAAGTCTGTTCCCTTCCCCTTGGATGTCCATTTAACCACTCAGAAACTTAAAAATGGTCAATATTTATATTTGTACTTAATGGCGCACATGTTCGTTTCTCTAAGTTACACTAGTGTTTTTTTTTATTTGCTCGTTTATTTGATTGGAGTTTTTTTGTAACAGGAATGAAGCTCAGGACTTCGTGCTTGCCAGGCGCTGTGCCCCTGAGCTATTCCCGGCCCCACTAGTGCATATTTTGAAGCAATGAATGAATCCTGGGATTAGATAGCAAGCGAACTTTAAATATTGCCCGGCACAGAATTCTCGGAACCACGTAAAATTGGCTTTCAGTATTCAAAAGCTAAAGGCGAAGTTACTTGGCCTTGTCACTAATTTGAAATGTGAAGAGGCAAAAACTCAATGAGAAAGGGGCTACCTTCAGCTCCATATTTAAAAACGAAAGAAGTCTCATTTCCTGTGTGCATTTGCTTTTCACTTGTAATTTTTTATCTTAATGCATTTTATTTAAATAGTTTTATTTTCAACGAGCCTCAGCAGAATTGAGGGACCTGCAGAATAAGAAGTCAATATGAATTAGATATTCATACACAACTTACGATGGAAGTCAAAATAAATCGAGATCATCATAAACAAGATTGTGACAAAGACTTTATACTGTTAAAAATGGCAGGCACTGTTTCCAGAATAGTATTTATAGAAAACATTAACTGAATCAAGAAATCATCTTTGGAATAGCTTAACTTTTATTATAAAATGGTCATTTCTTATGTATATAATTGTGTTTTTAGTACTATACATGACTGTAGACCAGTATTAAACAAAACTCAAACTTATCCTGTGCATCTAAATTTTCATTTTCTTCTTTTATAATTTAATTAGTTAATAAGACAAGTATTTGCTAAATTTTTCTTAGTACAATAAATGAGTTTCTTTCACCCTACCTAGTATTATATTGTATATATTAAAATTTATTTATGGCAGAAAGTCCTAACTTGTTCTTTGAATCATCACCACAGTGTAGGGTTTCTCAATCTCCATGCTATTCACATTTTGTCGAAGATAGTTCTTGGCTCGGGGAGGAGACTACTGCTTTCCATATTCCTTACAGCTACAAAGTAGATGCCACTAGTACACAACAAGTTGTAACAACAAAACTGACTCCAGACATTGCCAAATTTACCCTGTGGAGCAACATGACCTTCACTGAAGAACCACCACTATGGGGACAAGTGGAGGAAAACAGTCATTGTGAAAATGCACTCACAATTTCCTTTAACGAGTTTGGTTTTCCTGTTTTTCTCCGGTACCGGGAACCGAACTCACGACCTTGCACTTGCCAGGCAGGTGCTTTTGCCGCTGAGCTAAATCCCCAGCCCACGAGTTTGGAAATATTTTTCTTTTTGTAATGCTGATGCAATGAAATTTCTACAAATATCTATTATGCGCATGGTCATGTCTGCAGAGTCCTAGCAAAAATTAAGAAACTTGAAAACTGTACCTTTGTTTTGTTGTTATTTAAATTTAAATTGGAGGAAGTTGGATAAAAAGACACAGAAGGGTGAGCTACTACAGGCAAATGATTCATACATCATGAATTATATCTAATATCTTCAGCTATATCAAATTATATCTAATGAATATCTTCATATATAGCTAATTAAGATCTAATACATCTAATTGATATCCTCACAATGCATAAATAAATATCACTTCGAAAGGGGCTTATGAGTTCAAATGAAGCAGAACACCTCAGCCTGTGGCCCAGTAAATCTGCAGAACAAAGAGAAAACCCTGCAGACCATCACAGAACATTAAAAGACCCACTACCCAGTATGGTAACCATTAGCCACATGAAGTTATTTAGGTCTAAATTGATTAAAATTAAGTTTATTACAATTTTGTTTTTCTCTGTTACAAATTGTATTTCAAGTACAAAATAGCCCCATGTGGCTAGTGGCTACTATTCTGATCAGCACAGATACACAACAGTTCTAGCATCACAGAAAGTTCTATTGGACATCACTGACCTGCATTATCCTAGGAAACCACTTCATAATCACTTATTCATTCATTTAACAAACATTTGTAAAATGTCTGTGCTAGGTATTGAGTATTCTATACATTGAGTATGCAATTCTATATAAAACCAAGTCCCAATTCACCTCTTTGACCACATAAAGAGGCCAAAGTGTTTTTTGTAATTGCTGTTAAAGTGGTGAACACTTTGGAAAATCTAATTGGACAGGTATGTCATGGTCATTTTAAACTGTCCTTCCTCTAGTGACCCTATTCCCTACTGGAAAGGTAGGGAAGTGTGCATGTGTGAGTTACAGCAGGCCACCCAGGAACCACACATGAGGTTGAAGTTGTTGGAAACTTATCTCTCAACTTGCCTTAGAAAAAAGACCCTGGGGCATCACCAATTAATATTAAATTATTATGGAATCAAGAGAGTTTTTGTTGTTATTTACATTGGCAGTGTATTTCTTGCAACCCAGGAATATAAAATTAACTGCAATCAAACCAATGGGAAGACATCCGGATAACTTAGTCACACAGTTTAAAAACAGAAAATGATATTTTTACAAAGTGGTTAACCTTAATAAAACAAAAATTACAATCTTTTAACATCATTTTACTACAGTTAAAATCAGGAACCAGGGAAATAGCAGGTCATTATGGCCTGCGCTAGTGTAAAAGGGAAGTCGCCAAAGACCAAATATGCTGCTATGCTGCCATCTTCTGGTTCAGGCTAGTTTTAAAACACAGACAATTGTAATTTCGTTTCAAGCTAATGAAATTATACGAGTTGTTTCCCAATATAGAAAATAAAGGAAAATCCAGCACTCTCTCCCCAATAATCTCATAAGCAAACAATAATTAGAAGTTTTGTAAATCCTTTTACATCATTCTGTTGTATCTCACACATAAACAAATATAGCTATTCACTTGAAAAGCATTCATACACTTTTTTGTTTCAAGTATTATGAGTGCACTCGTACTGTGTGCATGCTTGTGCTATATATATACATATATATATGTTTTTGCCAAAATAATGAAGTAGAATAAGACAAGTGTTCCCTCCTCAAAACAAAACAAATCCACCCCATATAAAACACACAAGCAAGGAAAACAAGAATTCTGTGAGAACTGGGAGATGAACTGTGCGAATTGGAGTATGTGGGGAGAGAAAGTGGCTAAAGCCTACAGTACAATGACAGCAGTTTAGAGAATGGCTTTTTAGGTTTGACTTTGGTGCTCCCCAAAACCTGTTTTACTTCATATTGTCTTGAGGCAGTGTGTACCTGCCTTTCATCCCCAAAACTGGCCACAGCAGTTCAGGCCACAAAGTTTGGATGTACCTGGAAGAAAGCCTGCTGAGAAGTTTCAGGAAAAGTTAGCACTTACCAATTGCTCCCAGCTGCTTTCTGCTCCTAGTTCACCCCTCCATATGTGCATTAACATCACAGGAAACTGCATTAATATTGAGGGAAACTGCTATTCCTACTGCTGCTTCACTCTCAGAGTTTATCAGCACATTCCTCCAGGCAGTGTTAACTGCTGGAGAGTCAGCAAATGAGACCGAATGATGACAATTTTTGTGGTCATTAAGGTCCTCCATCCTAGAATTCATCTCCATCCTGCTCCTTAAAACTCACCTTGATTGAGCTGTGGTAGCACACACCTATACTCTCAGCACTGCGGCAGGAAAATTAACAAGAGTTGAGGCTACCCTAGGCTACAAAATGAGTTTAAAGCCAACCTGAAATATATAGACAAACTCTTTCTCAAAAAATCAGCAAAACAAAACAAAAAGTATCCTACAACCAGCCTGCCCCACCCCAAGCTTATGCTGTGGCCCATCAGGGACCCAGAGCCTGGGAAGTCCCTTCCAACTCCCCCCACCCCCAGCCAATGGCATGGTCTGCCAGGGACCCCTGTCCCAACACAGAGGACTTGGGAATAGAGTGCCTACCCCCAGCCCCTGGGTTTTTCACAGTGAAAGGCAATAGAGTTGAAACCCAACAGACCAACATGATCAAATGAGAGCCCAACACCCAGGAGGAGTCTCACTTAGGGACTGAAGTGAAACCCTTCGACAGAGACTGGATGAGAAACAACATTGGGACATAGACATGGACAGGGTGAGAGCTAAACAGGGGTCTCCTGGAGTCCCTGGGAGAGCTGGGCTCAGCCAAGGAGGACCACGGGTCCTGTACTCTGTCTGCTGTGGGAATCTAGGACCAGGTGGAGTAATCGTCAGAAAGGTAGGTCCTGAAGAAGAAGGTGTTTAATCTAGAAGTATGCTTGAGCTCTGGCACTACTGCCAACATCTAGCAGAAATCAGTTCAGTATAAGAGAGGCCTAATTGTGTTCCCTCAAAATTAGACTCCTCTTTGTTTTGGTGAAGGTCTGCCCATGTGTGTTTCCTACGGTTTGTCAATATCCATTTGACATTTGATGCATTTGTTGTCACTGAATGTACCACCATGGACAAGGTAATACACCAGTGGTCAGCAGTTGGTTTTCTCACTATGCCAACATGGAATGCATTGAGGGGATCATAAACAATACTGTGGCTCACTCCCAAAGAACAGGGCTCTGGGACAGAGAATTTGCAAAGCACAGCACAGCACAAACAAATAAAAAAACAGAAATATGAAAAGACAAAGGAACAAAATGTCTCCAAAAACTCCAAACTCTCCAAAAGTTGCCACAGAGGGCAGTGAGGGGAAAGAAATCAGAAGTTACACAGCAGATAGGTTGAAAGGGTACCAATGTGGGATAGAACAGCTCTACAAAATGCTTGGCAAATTTAAAGAAGATATAATCACATAATGATCACAATAAAACAAATGATCAGTGAGTCTAGAGAACACTAATAAACACCTAGTGAGGTGAAGAAAAGAGATGTAAATATGAATGTCCAACACAGAAAAGAAAGAGTCCATAAAAAACTTCCAAACAGAATCCAGAAGGCTGAAAATATGATTGAAAATATGGGTAACAGAAGCAACCAATGTGAAGACAGAGTGTCAGTCCTAGAAGACAGGGCTGTGATCAGTAATCAATTAATGATGAATACCTTTAAAACAACAAGAGGCCATGGAAAAATGGATACAATAGCTCTTCGATGACTCAAAGAGGTCTAATATAAGAGTAATTAGAATTAGCACCAAAAAAATCAGAAGACAGCTCAAGGGACATAAAAACTGTTTACACAATTAGTAGCAGAAAACTTTCCAGACCTGGAAAAAGAATGTAACATACAGACAAGCAAAGCATATAGAACCCCCAATAGCCATGATCAGGAAAATTCACTCCACACCACATAACGATTAAAATACCAGAAATACATAACCAGAAATACAACACAAGAACAGAATCTGAAAGGCTGCTAGAGAAAAGCAATGAATTAGCTATAAAGGAAAACCTATCAGAATTGAAACAGATTTCTGAACACAAGCCTCAAGGACAAAGATGGAAGGAAATGAAGTGTTTTAAGCACTTAAGGAAAACATCTTCCAACCTAGACTGTTATATCTTGCAAAAATATCTTTCAAAATCGATGGAGAAATAAAATACTTCCATGCTAAAGTAAACCTAAACCTGACCTGAGAACCAACATTCCAAAAAATTCTCAGTATCCTAGAAGGAGACAATGAAGCTCACAATGTCAAAAGACCCAACAAAATGAATACATCACATAAAGATGTAAATAAGTAGAAGGGGAAGAGAGAAAAACAGGAAATTAATACAATGACAGATGTAAGTGAATACCTGTCAATTATACAATCAATGTAAATGGATTTAATTCACCAATCAAAAGACACATATTAGCAGAATGGATCAAGAAACAAAATCCAGTGGTATTCTATATACAAGAAACACATTTAACACAAAAAGAAATTCATAGAGTAAAAACTCAAAACCCTTATT